TAGGGAATTACACTAAAAACTTGAAGAAAATTAATCTACTATCTTTCTCTGTGCTTTCCTACTTGTATTTTTTTCAGAGCCCAAGGAAAGCAGACCCATATATAAGGATATTCAGGAATTTTTTCATGTTGTTAACCTCTGAAAAATAGGATTATAAAAATCAGCCAAATCCCAAGTGTATATTTAACTAAGGTTTTCAATATTCTTAAGTTAAAAGTAACATCCATATTCGAATTTGAGGTTTGTAAGAACAAACCATCAATATAATCAACTCAGCTTTCAATTTAATAAAGTCTGAAAAGTCATACCAAAGGAATACTTAAGAGAAAAAAAAACAGGTTTCAAAGTAAGATTTGATGTCTAGAAAAGAAGAAAGGTATTCATATGAAATGTTCAAAAAACTAGATAAAATATTGTTTCATGCTGTTTTCATATAAATATAAATGAAGGGTATGGGCAATTTTTAAAAAATTATCTGTCCCAAATGCATTAATCCAGAATGGCCTTTTATAACAATATCTTCACATATCATTAGATCTTGAAGCAAAGAAGTCGCAATGTGGAAAATCTCCAACCCTTGTTCTTTCAAAAGATAGGTTTTCAAGTGGATGCATACAGCAAACAGTAATGATGGGAAAACAGGCTGGCGCAAAGAGCCTCTAATTTTTTTAGTAAACGCAATTGCAGAGTATTACAAAAAGATGGGAATTGCAGAATACAATGTTCTAAGTAGTCAAGTATGCATTAAGAAGTTATTAATTGGGGCGCCTGGGTGGCTCAGTGGGTTGAGCCTCTGCTATCGGCTCAGGTCATGATCTCAGAGTCCTGGGATAGAGCCCCGCATCGGGCTCTCTGCTCAGTAGGGAGCCTGCTTTCCCCACCCACCCACCCCCATCTGTCTCTCTGCCTACTTGTGATCTCTCTCTGTCAAAGAAATAATAAAATCTTTTTTTAAAAAAGTTCTTAATTACTTACTCAGTAGTCGACTGATAAAGTTGTTACAAGATCCTAGGAGTAAAAAAGGGTGATAACATGGAGAAAATAAACAGGCAGCAGGTCTATGAAACAGAAAATCCTTACTTTAAGAAAAGCCTGAGCTAAAGAGTTAGAGAGAAACTAATTTGTAGATTGAGAGCTGGTGGGAAATCCAGGAACCAGGATAAAAAAAAAAAAGAAAGAAAGAAAGCCTTTTACATTATACACAGCTAGAAGGGTATCAGTTTAAGACAAAAGGATTGTGTGAGCTTTAAATTACTGAAATTTAGAAAGGAGGAAATATATATATTTACTATAATACAATGTACAAATGATTTGCTAAGAATTATCATTTTTGCTTTCAATTTTTAAAGTTCTAATGTGTTCTCAAGTGAATTTTAGAACTAGTGAGGTTTTTAATTTGCTCTCCCAAGAAAGAAAAAGCTTATGCAAATTCTTACTGGAAATCTCAAGGAATAAGCATAGTTTTATCAGCAGTCTTATTTTCTCAGCTAAGAATGTCTATAATGCAGGCACCAGCTGTGATAATGATTTCTCTATTGCTGAGTTTTATCTGATTGGACCTAGACTGATAGCTGATTCATTGGCAAAAGATCCTAAAGAAGTATCTGGTTGTAAATTCTCTTTGGTCAAAACCCATCCAGGGCCAATTTAAAGCATTTTAGAGATATTATGAGTAGAGAATATTTTTCCATAGTGATATGGACAATCTATAACTATAGAAAAAGATAAAAGTCTAAAGAGTATTTCAAGTGAAGAAAAGCAGAAATACACCCAATTGTACCCACTTTGCCACATTTCATCTGGGATATCCTGAAACAAGGAGGAAAAAAATAACCAACTCCATTTCAGCCATGAGTTCTTCATTTTCTTATTATTTGTCTACCCAGAGCATACCTAAATGAAGTCTAAAAAGAAGGCCTCTGTATAACCCATAACAGAGTTTACTGTTAGTAGTCTGAAGTCTTTGATATTGTCAAAGATCCTGGGATTCTTTTGTTTCTTACTCTTTAAAGCTTGTCCTTCCTTTTTCACCCTCAAGCCTTTCTATTCTTTACCTACCAGTCTCACCTTCTCCAATACCTCCTTCACATTATTACTGCCAAATTTTTGTTTTCTGAGTCTCTGACACTAGAAATGAAATCTTCAAAATTGGGGGAAATAAGGAGAAAACATTCCTCTCAATGCTTCCTCTCCACTGGCCCTCACCCCAGACATACCTTTATGCACACACTTCTGCACAGACACACACCTCCTTCGCTTAGAAGATTTCACAGTCTGTCTTGCCACCTGATACACCCAATTAGAAAAGTTGACCTCCAAATTCCACCCAGTTTTCCAAATTCACTTCAGCCTTCCAAATGTCACCTAGACTATTTCAGCTCTTGGTGCTCTCTCCTTTCTTCTCTAGCACCCTCATAATCTGCAGGACACTTTTTAGTCACAAGTTCTTAATACACTCTATATAATTACATAAAATACTAACATCAAACAAGCCAAGGCTCATTTACTTACAGTGTGATCCTAAATCATGTCTCTAAGCCTGTTTTCTCAGCTATAAAAATGGGGACAGTACATAAACTAGCAAACAATGTTGTCTTACTCACAGGGTTGTTAGGATTAGCTGAGGTAAATCAAATACAGCGCCTAACACGGAATGAGCACTTCATGAATATTAGTCATTTTTATGTTGTCAGCCAAAATCCTCTAGCTTTTTTAATTCTTTTTTTTTTATTTTATTTATTTATTCGACACAGAGAGAGATCACAAGTAGGCAGAGAGGCAGGCAGAGAGAGAGGGGGAAGCAGGCTCCCCGCTGAGCAGAGAGCCCGATGCGGGGCTCTATCCCAGGACTCTGAGATCATGACCTGAGCCGAAAGCAGAGGCTTAACCCACTGAGCCACCCAGGCCCTCCTCTAGCTTTTTGTATATACCTTAAGAGCCTTCTAGGCTCCTGAGGGTAGGGGCTATGCCTTAGAAATATTTAATAAATATATCTTTAAAGAATTTATGACAAAAGAGCACAAGGCTTTGTAAATAATGAGGCTTAGGGGACAATTTTAGCATGCTGGTGGACAGAACTCTGCCAGGGTTAGGAAATATTAACTTCACTGCACACTTACAGAATCCCCCATTATGAGCCAGGCACTACTCAGTAGGTTCTAATAATCTGCATGGTAGAACACGAATATCTCACTCCAGGAAGTACCCAAACTTACCTAATAAACAGAGAAGCCGTATATTGACAGACTGCACAATTGCCAGAGACGCTTCTTCTCCAGTCAAGTGTCTCAAGGATCAGATGGGGGCTGTCATGAAGACAGGAGCTATGACGGCAGATTTTTAAGTAGAAAGCACTTTTGGGGATCCTATAAGATATATTATCACAGTCTGTCTAGACAACCTCTAAGTGTCTGTGAGGTATTCCTGATTACCATTCTCCTAAAAATTGCAAGAAAATTCCAAGGTATTCCTTCATTCACTCCTAGGGCAGACAATGAGGAAAAGAAGACAGATTCAAAGCTTAAAGGGCTGGTTTGTCCCAAAAGTGTCACTATTCAAACTTACATAAAGCAGGGAGGGGAACAAAGTTTGTTTTAAATAATATATACATACACATACTAATGTGCAGCTTCTTTGTTCTCTATTTCAGGCAACCCATTACCAATTTAACAAAAATCCTTTTTTGTAACTTTACATAAGAGGTAAGAATGCTTTGTAACCATGCAAAAGTTCCATTTCGTTCCTAGAACACAAAGCTATTCAAAGGTCTGTTTTTCATCTTTACTAAGTAAGGCTGTGAAACAGCTAAATCAAACGTTCTATCAGCTGAAGACAGAACCTCTCAAATTATGATATTTCCATCTGGGATTATTTCAAGGCCATTTTAGTTCCTGAGGATACAGCAGCAGGTAATCAAAAATACTTGTTCTTAGGATGTCCAAATTCTAGTAGGAGTGCACTGATAAACACATAAACAAGTGATTGTAAAATGTGGGGAACACCGTGTTCTGGAGAAAAAACAAGAAGGAGGACAGAGATAAAAAATGGAGTTGCTATCTTATACTGAAGGTCCAGGGAACGCTGCTTCTTCAAGGAAGTAGCCTTGAAAGATGAGAAACTAAGTCTATGTGGGTTTCTGGGCTTTTCCAAGCAAAGGAACCATGAAGTGCCTGTAGTCCCTAAGCAGGAGAGGAGTTTCATGTAGATATTCTGGGAGTTAAGAAATAAAAGGTACCTGGATTGGAGTCCTAGCACTTTGCCCTTTACCAACTCAGGTTAAGAAAGCAACTTGACCTCTCCTGAATCTGTTTCTACCTCTGAAATTTGGGATAGTGCTTCGTGTCTCACCAAGTTATTTCAAAGGGAAAAAAAAGGCTTAAGAACGCACTTGACAGCATTAAGAGATTATTCCCAAGTTTGTAACCTGAGGGTTGTGGGAAATTTCCTCAAGGCTCTACTGACTGCAAGCTCCAACCTAAATAAACAGCCAACCTCATTTGACGATGAGGACAAATGAGGACGATGGTACCTATATCACCAGGCGTTGTAGGGTAAGAGCTAAGAAAATTCACCTAAACACGGCAACCCGCACGCAAACCCCTCAAAACATCCACGATCGGTATTACTGTCCCTCGTGCAGCCAGGGGCTCCACTCCTCTGCTTTACACCTGACGAACAGGGGGAAGCTCTCTGAAGCAAAGACCTTTTTTTACTGACTCTGCAGACCATTCAAACACGCTGGAGTATTTTGAAGGATTTTTCCCCATTTCCATATTCTGCGACATTCTAGCTTCCCTCTCTAAAACATATTCAGGTTTCATCTTAAAAGGCCTAGAAACTGAGCTACCATCAAACGTTTTCGTAAGGCTCAGGAGGACCGCTTCGGTAATCTCTCCCCTGAGCGCAGCACCGTCACCTTTCGCGCCAGAGGCCCGCCTTTTATAGCAACGTGATCACGTCATCTCGTCGCGCGTGCGCAAAGACGGTGGCGTGACCACGCCCAGGCCTGTGCTGAGACCCAGCGTCCGCACGGTAGCGGACGCCTTTATGGAAAAGGTCGGAGTGGGACTAGGTGAGTGAAGTCCCACAGCGTTACCGGCGGCCAGTGGGTGCCTTGACTGTCCGAGAACAGCACAGGTGCTCGCAGGGCCGGTGGGGAGCATGTCGTTAAAGGGGGAAGAGCCGGGATGAGGAGGAAAGGTCGTGAGTCCTCTGAGTATAAGCAGGAAGTTGGAGTGGTTGCAGGGTTAAGAATTCAGAGCCCGCGGATCTTCGGTTCGAAAGGCAGAATTTATCTTGGGGTTTGTCTGGAGTGCTGATGGCGGGCGTTACGGAAAAGAAGTTACCGTGGACTAACTTTCCGAGATTTCCTTGACGCTGCATTCGAAAGGGGGAGGAAGGCGGCGACGATTGGTCCGTAGTGATCTTAGAGGATACGTGTCTGTAACTAGATCCTTGTGGCACGCTGGCGGGCGAGTGCTGTCCGCGGTGCTGAACGCGAGACATTGGTTTCTTTAGAAGGAAACCCGTTGAGGGCAGGCAGTGTTTCCTTGCCCTTGGCTGGGATCAGTGCTATGTGCCTCCATGTATGTGCACTGAAGGAGCAGCTCAGTCTATCAACGCTGGACACTCAGAGATTAGCGACAGTGTGTAAATCATAAAATTTACCAAACCCAGTGCTTCGCTCCAGGAAAAGAATTTCATTCCTGTTTTTTCTCCCTTAGGACAGTCACCTTCAGCTTTTGCACGCAACCAGATGATTTGCCTTCGGGCTCTGAGCCTTCAAAGCACTTGACTTGATCTTTTATCTGTATTGGTCCAGGCCCTTCAGTCAAGGTGAGCTTGCTCATGTGCCATTAAAATGGGCTTTCCTAAACTCCCCAAGTGGGAGTCCTGAGCGCCCAGGGTAAGGGGAAAAGACCAGCTGGGCTTTTCCCCGCAGTTATACATGAAAAATACTTTCTTATTTGGAAAAGAGATGGTAGAACTGGGCAGTCTTCCAATAAAGGAAAGACCATGAGTTTCCAGTTGGTTCTTATAACTTGTTTGCCTTTCTATGTGTGTGTGCACAGGCATAAGGGATGGTATTCCTGTGTTGAATTTTACAGAGTGGATTTTTTTTCTTTCTGTTGATTCAATAAAATGTTTACTAGTCTTAGTACCAGCTGCTTGTTTGTTTTCAATTCAGATTAAGGTTAAAGTGTGAGGAAGTAAGAGGAGGAAATGTAAAATCTGTTGAGTTTACCTGATTCATGGTGATTTTGGATGCGTCTGGCATATAAAAAACTGTGCATCGTAAATAAAAATGGTTTTAAATGCATTCTTTCATTTTGTACATCATTATATCTCAATTTTTATTTTTCTCTTCTGAGAGAACCAATGGGTTGAGGTAATAAAACAATCAACTGCTATGAAGCTGAGGACATTAAAGTAACTTTAAATATTTTTATTATTTAGCAGAAAGCTTATAAGGCAGCTTTGATTAAACATGACCTCCTTGTTTGCTCAAGAAATTCGCCTTACTAAGAGACATGAAGAAATGTAAGTTTTTTAAAAGGCTTATCTAAATTAATAAATTATACTGGCTTTGTTAGTGGAAATATTGTGTGCCGAAGACTTAGGAAGTCTGAAGGTGTCATTTAAATTTTCTGACACTTGAGAGATTTTGGTGTTAGGGAATGTCACTGTCTCTTAAGAATAACAAAGATTACAAGGTATGATCATGTTCTCTTCTTACAATTCTTACTATTATCTGGTTAAATTCACACTTCTCACCTTTCTGGTTTCCTCACTGATATATATAATGGACTTCTGTACACCTCTTACCCAGGATAGGCTTCATGAGTATGTGACCTGTGTACTCACAGTTCCTATACTTGGTTTAATGCTCTACTGTTGCTGTCTTGAAATTCCTAATAGTTTTTTAAAGGAGCCCCACATATTCAGTTTGCATTAGGCCTTGCAAATTATATAAGCAGTCCTGCACTTATACTTGATAATAACCTTCTCTGCCTCTTTCTGTGGGCTCTCGTGTTTTCCTTTAATTAATTACCAGGCCCTCTTCCTTGGCTTTCTAAGATCTTTCCCTTATCAAAATGTTGAAATAACTCAATTTCAATGCTACCCTCAAGAACAGCCCTCTGAAACACAGCATTTCTTAATAACCTCCACAACTATCTGGAGAGTAGACTGTTATATATATATATATACCACATGTATTTTTTATCGTCTGACTTTTTTTAATCAATCATTTAAGGGGACCAAAAAACTTGTAAAATGAGCATTTGACCAATGAGAAATTTTTAAAATATATGTAACAAAGTAGCTTGAAAATTTACTTAAAACTTTCTACATCTTCCTTCAATTACTGTTTCACCTTGTTGTGAGTATGCATACATACACACAGCCTCTCATTCATATATGGAACCATCATCTTTCTCTTGGAAAAAGAGGAAAAAAATATTTTTATTGCTTCTTCAAACATATGGAAGTTTAGCGCAATTCTAAATGTGTAACATGAGATTCAGGGGTATTGAAGTGTTAAGCAGAAGGTTTCGTATAGCAAGTTATATCAATGTATGTGTGTGGGGAGGTATATATAAGTATGTGTACAAAGGGATATGTATTACAGTTTGCATTTTCACCAAAAATTAAAACATGTTTTTAACACTCTAGAATAATTGCAAAGACCATAGAGGCTAAAAAAACAGAAGCATGTAGTTACGACAGATATGTTGATGAAAATAAGAATGATTTTACCCAGATTTAAGACTGACTGGACTATCTAAGTTTTCCAGTGCCTTATTAATTGACATAGTAATTGGTTTTCAAAATAGGTTGAACTTGAAGTGAGGTATAATTAAATAAATTTTTTATGTTTGTCAAGCAAAAAATGTACCCTTTAAAAAAAAAACTTTATATAATCTTTATTTTTTTCTAGAGTATCACAAAGATTAATGTTACTTCAACAAATGGAGAATAAATTTATAGATGAAAACAAGGGAAACGCATCTCAGATGCAAGCAGCTGAGACTGCTTTTAAAAGGAACCTCAGTCTTTTAATGGTAAGTTTCCATGACTTGAGTATAGAGACTTTTTCCCCACCTTTGCAAAAAAAAAAGATTTTAAGTGAATTTCATAATTTTGATGTATATACTTTGTTTTGAGTAATAAATATAATTAATGAAGTACTATCTAGTTTTTAAACCCATGTTAGTTGGATACGTTGCAAATGGATTCCTTTTTTAATGGAAAAAAAAAGGAAGTTTGTTTAACCTAAGTGTTTTTAATCAACCAGAGGAACCAATGACCATAGAAGAAATTTAGAGGTCACCTTTGTGCAAGAAGTAATAAATACAAGATGTAGCTTTCCATCTTCCATCTTCTTTTATTTATAGGGAGATCCTAAAACCCCATGAACTACCTATAAGGTTTTTAGATCCAACTCAAAACTATTCAACATCATCAAAATAAGAAAAATTTGATTTTGCCCTACTAGGGCCACAGTCAGCACGTAGAATTCATATCTAAAATAACAGATTTCCCAGATCTCTCTTGATAGTGATGGAGGAGGTGGTCAAAGTATGTGATTGCGCAGGGCCCCACCATTTGGCCAATGTGCCCATTTGGAGTAAAATCATATGTGTAACATTTTTGGCTGCTTGCTATACTTTGCTTCCAGAATTGTATGGCTTCATCCATAATTAAAACCCTAAAGTTTGCTTCCATTCAAGCTTCCAAGAGATCCTATGACTAAAACATTTGGGAGTAAGGCTATATTATTTAAGTTATAAAGCAGTGTTTTCAGTTTTTTATTGTTAAATATTTTCATCGATAGGCATGATATAGTTATCTTATGTAGTCACTAGAGGATAAAGGAAGAGGAAAATTCAGTTATCTTCTCAGCTTCTGGCAGTTTGATCCACAGTAATTTAAGTCACAGCCATAGTGCTACCAAAGCATTCTATGTTGCCATATGTCTTACTTGCCCAATGGTGTTTGCAATATTTATTTTTAAATGGAAATATATAGGATAATCTGGAATTTGCTGTGAAAAGTCAGAAAAACTAAATTAGAAGGCTTGATGGCATGATCGCTATTTACCTGCAACAAGTACAGGTACTATTTGGATTTTTTCAAGTAGCTTCCTTTTAGTGAGCAAGTATTTGGTGAATGCCCAGAAGGGCCTTACTACTGAGCTAGTTCTGAGCAGACAGTGGAGTTAACAAAATAATTCAGAGTTCTTTACATCAACTAGCTAACAGGCTTAACTGATGACATAAGGTTATCACATACAACTTAAGAGACCTTAGTTAATTGAACATTAAGTTATAGGGAATCCTTAGCACTTTAGGAGTATGTATTAAAAAAATCATCGAAAACTAGAATATTCTAACAAGTCTGAGAGGGGAAACTAAGCTGGAGCTGTGTTTGAATAGGAAGATGCAAGATATTCCATTGCATTCTTACAGAAGAACCACGACCAGAAGAATGAGTGGCCGTTTTAGTGTCCATGGGACCCTGAGCTAATTAGCTTGTGAAGTCACGGGAAGCAAGGTTGGATATGTTTTGTGAGACCGACTGAAGAAGCTGAGACCTGATATGTAGGGATAATACAGTACTAAAAGTGTTTGAACAAATGAAAAATAGGGACTTATATAAGAAGCATATGGGTATTTAAGAAAGATTCATTTCCTATTTAGATGCAATGTGATTTGCAGAATGGAGAGATTAGATTTAAGGAGAATAGCTAAGAAATCATTGCCATATCTGGAAGGAAGATAATGAACCTAGTTTCACTGTCATTAGAAGGAAGCTTTGATGGTGTTTTAGCCCCCGATTATAAAAGTAATATATTCTTCTTTTTAATTTAAGAAAAAATGTTTTTTTTTTAATTTATTTAACAGACAGAGATCACAAGTAGGCAGAGAGGCAGGCTTCCCGCCAAGCAGAGAGCCCAATGCGGAGCTTGATCCTAGGACCCTGGGATCATGACCTGAGCCAAAGGCAGAAGCTTTAACCCACTGAGCCACCCAGGCGCCCCTAAAAGTAATATATTCTTGCTGTAAAAAACTGGAAAGAGCCAAGAAGATGAAATGGCATACTTTCCAAATCATCCCACCCAGCTTGAAATTAATGTTTTTATACATTTCCCTTTAGTGTTTTAATAAGCATTTACTGAGCTCTTATATTCCAGATACAGTGCTTGCTGTTAGATATGCAGTCTCTTCCCTGACTTTTTTAAAAACATATTTTGAATACTTGTATATGCATTTTTTTTATCCTGCTTTCCCTCTTATTATTTTGTTTTAAACTTTGGAAATAATTTTAAGGGCTCTACCATAGAGGTTATCATGAAAATGACCTAAATAGGACTTAATCACAGAATTTTCAGGTGGGAGAAACTTTAAAAAGCACATAGATTATATTTTCACTTAAGGCTTTAAATTTTTTTTTTTAGCATAAAAACTTTTTTTTTTTTTTTTTCAAAGATTTAGAAAGGGTAAAAGTGGACCTGCTTTGGCCAAAGGACCATCCATTCAGCCCCTCCTTGCCTGCTCTACTGTGGCTCTAAGGAATAGTGAAAACCACTGACCTGCGCTGATCTCCTAATTTGGAGAGAAAGAACATGAAGTAACTACTTCGAATACCCACTCCCTGTCAAGAACAGGTTCAGTAGGGCACCTGGGTGGCTCAGTGGGTTAAAGCCACTGCCTTCAGCTCAGGTCATGATCCCAGGGTCCTGGGATCGAGCCCCGTGTCGGGCTCTCTGCTCAGCGGGGAGCCTGCTTCCCTTCCTCTCTCTCTCTGCCTGCCTCTCTGCCTACTTGTGATCTCTGTCAAATAAATAAATAAACTCTTTAAAAAAAAAAAAAAAACAGGTTTAGTTACATCAGGATATATACTTCAGGGGTGCCTGGATGGCTCAGTGGGTTAAGCCTCTGCCTTCAGCTCAGGTCATGATCTCAGGGTCCTGGGATCGAGCCCTGCATCAGGCTCTCTGCTCAGTCGGGAGCCTGCTTCTCCCTCTCTCTCTGCCTGCCTCTCTGCCTACTTGAGATCTCTCTGACAAATAAGTAAATAAAATCTTTAAGGAAAAAAAAAAAAGGATATGTACTTCAGTACAGAATACATTTGAAAAATGGTTCCATTGAAACTTGAAAACATTCCTCTAAAGATAGTAACAAAATAAGGATAAGCTCTATTACCATCCATTATTTGACCTTATTTAGATGCTCTGACCAATATAAGAAACATTAACATAGAGTGAGCTTTAATTTTTGGAAAGTAACATATAATCCTAGTATTTTTTTTTAAAGATTTTATTTATTTATTTGACAGACAGAGATCACAAGTAGGCAGAGAGGCAGGCAGAGAGAGGAGGAAGCAGGCTCCCCGCGGAGCAGAGAGCCCGATGCGGGGCTCGATCCCAGGACTCTGGGATCATGACCTGAGCCGAAGGCAGAGGCCCTAACCCACTGAGCCACCCAGGCGCCCCTAATCCTAGTATTTTTAATTGATAATGCTATATACTTAGAAAAGCCAAAGCTGTTTAAAAACTAGTGTATTGTGAGTTGAGTAAAATTAACAGATACAACGGAAACATTCAAAAATCTGTAACAATCCTATATATATATACAAATGGAAAATATGAAATGACATTTACATTACAATGAAATTATAAAAACACTTGGGAATGCTTTTAACAAGGGATAGGAATGATTGGTATAAAAATAATTCTTACATTTCAATGGGAGATTTAAAATTTAAATGGAGACATAGGCCTTAATCCTGATGGGGAAACGATTTTTTTTTTTTTTAATCAGGAGTCACAGTGTTATTTTTAGATTTAAAAATAAGCCCACCAAAATCTGCATCAAACCCAACAAAATTTCTCTAAATGTATTTGGAAAAAATAAAAGAATGATTTAAAAATGGGAACAATAACAAAAAGACTAATCCCAAAGGTCCAAGCATAATAGTAAAACAATGGACATGAATTTAAGTAGTGAAGAAATTCAATGGGGGTTTAGTCAATGAAATATCACAGATGATAATGGATTGTTAGTTTCTGCTAGTTTCCCTCTTATGAGTAAAATAAGATGTGTCTGCCTTTTAAAAACAAACATGATTGGTACAGATTTGGAAGAGAGAGAGAATTTTGTTTCTATAAATACTTCCATGATGTAAACAGTCATCTCTTCGACCTCTTTCCCCACCCCACCCCACCCTCACCAACAGAATTTAGTTTAACCCAAAAGGGCAATTTTGAGGTAGCGAGCATCACCTCATGGGAAGTTGGACCAACATTCCAGGGTGAGAAAGAATGGGAGCAACAGATTAGACATACGACGAGTGCTTCCCTTAAGGCGGGTCCTAGAGGCCTTCTTGGGGCAGCTGGCAGTTACAGCCTTCCCCACCTCCACGGCCAGTGACTTAGAGGACATAGTCTCTCCTCTTTCCTCCTCACACTTCTCCCTTTCTCCAATTCAATGAAGAGCAAGTTTGACAAATGCTTAAAGGTTCCTTGTACCAATGACCCTGTATCTCGTGCTTTAGGATCTTCTTTTTTCAATCCTAGAAATTGCCCCTTCAGCAAATTAAAAGATTAAACCCAGTCCAGCTATGGCTGGCTTCACTGTATATACTTATAGGAAGATAGATATTGCTGGGTTAGGAGGAAAGGACAGGTCTAGGCAAGAGGAAAGAAAGAAATCTCAGTAAATGACTTTGTGCTCATAGTTGATCTTTCCTAATCACGGTCAACTCCTTTACAGAGGCTGGCTGCTGAATTCTGTCATGGCGTAATATTTATACCACCATCCATACCGGAAACTTGTTTTTTTAATTGTTACATAATATTTCAAACCTATGTATAAGAGGGAATAGAAGAATGTACTTCCATGTGCTTATCTCCAAGATTCAATAATTTTCAAAACACAGCCAATTTTGTTTCATCTACACTCGTCACCTTCACGTCCAACCCCTCAAATTATTTTGAAGCTAATCTTCAGACATCACATTGTTCATTTGTAAATATCACGTCTTTTTCATCAGTAATTATCACTCAGAGATAAGGGCTATTTTAAGTACAATTACAATACCATGATCCATCTAAGAAATTAACAAATATCCTCAAATATTCAGTCAGGATTCAGATGTCCCTGATTAAAGTATTTTTACATTGTTTGAATCTGGATCCAAATAAAGTCTAGTACGTCATTGATTGATAGGTCTCTCAAATCTCTAAAAGTTCCCTCTGCCTTTTTTTTTTTTTAACCCACTTTTATTTGTTGAAGGAATTGGCTCATTTCTCCTATAGTTTCCCAAACTCTGAATATTGCTAATTACATTGCTGAGGTATCACTTAGTAAGTTCCTCTGTTCCCTGTAATTCCCATAAATTGACGGAAGTTATGTTATGCAACAGAAAGATAATGCAAATAATTTTAAATTTTCTAATAATGACGTTTTAAGCTTTTATCTATTTAAGTAATCGCTACACCCAACATGGGACTCAAACTCATAACCCTAAGATCAAGCATCCCCTGCTCTTCCCCACTGAGCCAGCCAGGCACCCCTCTAGTAACCACTTTTAATAAAGCTAAAAGGCACAGATTAAAGGAAATGTATTAATTTCATATTTCAAATGTAACTGATATTGGAAGTTAGTAAATATTTTATGTTTTTTTCCCCTCATTGAGCCTTCAAAATTCAGTGTGTAGTTTCCGTTTACAGCGCTTCTCAATTCGGGCTTGTCACATTTCAAGTGCTCAGCAGCCGCTGAGCATAATGGATTAACGGAGCAGATCTAGAGGCCTGATCAGATTCAGGGTCAATGTTTTGGGGAAGAACACTTCATAATGCCTGGCCATCTCTCTTTCTGAAATGTTAGCAGTCACTGATGATCATGATCTGTTCACTAAGGGTTGCAAAGTGATACTGAAATTCAAAGATAAACGTCCCCTCATCAATTACTGGGTTACACTGAAGTACACTCCATATAGGAAAAAGTATATAAGTGCTTGCTTCTTTCTCTGTACTTAGTTTTCAAAAATAGATTTGTTCTCTAATATCCCCCAAAAGTGACCAATTAGATGTTGATACTCTTAAATACCTCTGTGATTTGAAAGGTCTGGACCCTCTTCAATTTGTATTCCCAGTGATGCTCAAATTATCCCATTTTTACCAAGGGGGAGCCTCCATGTTATCTCCTGAATGCCTTTGACATGATCTTAATTAACAGTCTTTGATAGTTTTCTTTCTTTCTACTCTGGCATCTTCCAGGCCATCATTTGCTGCTTAAGACCTGGAACTGACCATTGCTCCAAGGAACCCTGGATCCTTTTGATGGGAATACATGTTTAGAGCCCTTCATCTGGGCTCTAGGGATGTTTATTATAACTTTTTTTAAAAGATAAAATTCATCAAGAGCTCATATAAATAATTCCATTTTGATTACATGATTATAAGACTTTTAACTTAAAATCCATCTTTTACCTCTAACTATTTTCCTCCTCAAACCAAAAACCTTAGTTCCTAAATAATTTTCCAGTACCAGCATAACTACTCATTTACTTTAACCCATAATATAGACAGCACTACCAGCAACACTATGATTACTGAGTACAGTTTTCAGTCAAACACTTTTCACTATCCTTTTTGTTTGTGGGGTATAGCTCATTACAGATGCTCAGTCAAAATACTGTGTTCTAAGACCACCTGAGGTACTTTTTCTTAATGTGGTTATGCCACCAACTAGATGACAGATTCTTTCTTTCCTTCTGTTTTCAATTTTTAGGGACTGCTTTTTTCATTTGTTCTATAATTGTATATGTTTTTAAATGATCTAGTGGCAGATCTATAAGGCAAGATACCAAGATCTGGACAGGTGAGTCTAGCTGCTCTTCATCTGCTTTTTTTTGCTTTTCTCCCCCTACCCCCTTGGGTACTTTTTTTTTTTTTTTTTTTTAGTTTTTTATTTATGCACAGGAGACTGTTGACACCTTAGTCATTTATTTACATAATGAATATTTAAGTGTTTAGTACATACCCTGCACTTTGTTAGATTCTCGGATGCTCAAAGGTTGAATGAGGCACAGTCCGTACCTTCTGGCAGCATATAGTCAAACAGAAGGTTCTTAACTGGAAGTAATGGGCTATAACTTGCTACAGAAGGCAGAGATTTTTCAGTCAGGCTAAGGAATTCATACTTTATCCTCTGTGTAGTGGGTCTCTATTTTTTTTTAAATCTGTGTAAAGACATATTTAAAGTAGTGATTTTAGCAAAACTAATCAATTGCACATGTGGTTAAAGTAAAATGAGATATGGTCCAAATACATATTTGTTGAACAAGGAAGTGTGATAATAAGACCACAGCACTGAGAATGGCATGGACAGGCTAAGGGAGACATCCTACAGGAGTCATCTATGGACCTTTGAATTTTTAAATGTCAGGGAATAAGAACAGTCGAAGGTAGAAGATACAGCATAGGTGTCTGCAAGAGTAGAACTCCCACTACTGTACATTCAGTACACTAAGTAGGAATAAGGGTAGTTTGGTTTCATCAGGTTGAGAAATAAGGGCTGGGAAGAAAAGTTATCCATCCCTCTATATTAATCGTTGAAGCTAGATAAGAGACAGTCTTGGAGAGAGAAAAAGTAAAAAGAGGAGGACAGATGTCACAAATCTTAGAAAGCCCACACTTAGGATTAAGAAGAGAAAAAGGCGCCAACTTAGGAGAAAGAGAAGTAGGAGTCAGAGAGGTAAGCAAAACATCTAAGAAAGTAAAATCTCACTTATGAAAGAAGTTCTCTGGAGGGGTGATAATCCCTTGTCGACAGGCTGCAGAGATGACAGTCAAGTTACTAACCATAGGCCTGTTTTACCAGGTCAGAGATCCCTGCTCATATCTACTCTTCCACGGCAGATCTGCTCTTCTAGGAGAGAGGGCCAATATCCTTATTTCCTGGTCTTTAAGAGAAGTGTTTATCATCTTGTCTATAGGTGCTAGTGGCACCTAGGTCTACCACCAACCATAAATTTGCAACTGTTCTTATAATGGGGTCAGTGGAGTTGTGAGTCTATTGTTTGTTTGATTTATGAAAGTAAAAAATAATTTTCCCAGGACGTTGTAAAAATCTCCGTGCAATCACAGGAGAGTTAATCTCCGGTGTCTGTTGTAACATTGGCATCAGAAGCACTTTAGTGTGCGTCTTGGCCCTAAACTTCTGGTAGGGAATGGACGTGGCTAATAAGATGGGCTTTTTATCCCTAAATTGATGGTTTTCCCCTTCAAATCACCTTCTTCGAGACAGCAGGTGCATTAATGGTTGTGCAACTTTGGGGAGTCCCTTTAGGGAATTTCCTGTTTTTCCCTTTTACATTTCACACCCATTCCTTGCTCCCGCCACTGCCATCTGCTCGCTCTTTTCTCCTGTTCAGCATTGGATTCTTCACACCCCACGCCCACGTCCTTTTCCATCTCTCTCCGTCTGTCCAACAGCCCTGTACTTAGATCGCTCCAATGCTTGCACACGGATCAGAGAACTTTCTCTTTTCCATCAACTCACTGAGCTCACAGGAGAGACAAAATTGACACGGCCCACAGCCAAGGCCTCTGTCAACTTGACAAACATAAGCAAGCACAAGACAACACAGGTGCCAATTTGGGAAGCATGAAACGGAGCTCAGTGTTTCACTGACGACGTGGGAGAGTCCTACATTTCTGGGCCTGTACTTCATCCACATATCAGGGTGACATCTTCACTCGGGTCTGCGTTACATGTAATTGCCCCTGCGCTTCTGCAACCGCAAGAGAAAATGCACACACCCACACGTCACACGACAGATTAAAGCACAGGGCTTAAATGTCATCAGCTAAATGATGTACGACACAGCCGTAACGCCGGCCAATGAGAATGCCCCAGAAATCGAGTCCTAAGAAACCAGAGTCTTCTGAAAAGACTCTTGTTGCAAAGTACTGAGGTACCTCATTGACTTTCTTTCGAATACGTGGAGGATTTGCATAAGTATAAAATTAAAAAAACAGGGGCGCCTGGGTGGCTCAGTGGGTTAAGCCTCTGCCTTCGGCTCGGGTCATGATCTCGGGGTCCTGGGATCGAGCCCCGCATCGGGCTCTCTGCTCAGTGGGGAGCCTGCTTCCTCCTCTCTCTCTGCCTGCCTCTCTGCCTACTTGTGATCTCTGTCTGTCAAGTAAATAAATAAAATCTTTAAAAAAAAAAAAAATTAAAAAAACAGAATACTGAACAGATGAAATGTGTGACCTTAATACACCATTTGCATGATCTAGACTAGAACGCTTCACTTTTAAGGTTAGCTCAGTGTGAGGCTGATTCTCTGACTGTTTTTGGTACCTGAATATTGGACCATTTTATCCATCTGGCTGTTTTTAATGGTTTTAGAGCTATATTAGTGTCCTGAGCAGTTTTGGAAGAAAGTCCTGTTTGCCAGGATTACTGGCATTTACTGTTTTAAATGAAAAGGAAGACCTTGAAAGTCCCACCCCCCACACTTCTTATTTTAAAACAAGAAACGCTGCTTTTTCTACTTGAAACTGGTTGATTAAGTAATGATCAGTCCTCCTACTGGAATGCCCTTCCTTCAGTTCAGACGGTTTATCCAGAGAAGAGTTGACATTTGGGGTACAGACATTGCTATTACAGGTGACATTTGTATGCGTTACATAAATACATTTTGTTTCTAAAACACGGACACCTATTACAGGATCTAGAAGCCGCAGAAAAGTCTCTGCAGACCCGGATTCGCCCAATTCCATCACCAGAGGTGGTTTCTCTTGAGGTGAGAATCTTAAAGAACAAAAGTATAGAAAGAGACCCCATTCTGTTAGTAGTGCACTCTAAATTAACCGTGGTTAGGTGTATGTATTTCCCAGATTTATTTATTCGGTAAAATAAGATGTGTCTGATTGCTCCTTACATGTCCACAGTGCTGTGCTTTGTACACGGTGAGGAGGGGGTAAGTATTTTGATTTCTAAAGATTTATCAGGTGACAATTTTATAAAGATCCCGTATCTTCTCATCTAGAAACACCTATCTTGCTCAACCGTAACAGACAGGAGACAGCATACACTAAATCGATTTACCAAGATGATGGCGTGCCTAACCAAAGTGCTTTTCCTGTTGGCCGATGCTAGAAGTTCAGTCCTTTCACCAGATTCCAACCAAAGCTATTTAAGTGCCTATCGTCATGCAGTATCGTGTGGCTTTTGTCCGTTTTATTTTGCTCAGTTCAAGAACAGATTGGGAAGACTGTTGGCAAAAATAAACCCTATTTGGTATATGAATATATCTGTGATGAAAGGAAATTTACTACATATAGAATAGTTTCGTTTTCTATTCCTAATGACCTTTTTCAAATGCAGTTTTGCTTGCTGCCTAAACAGGGATGTGAATAGACGCAAAATTAAAGGCTGAGAATTTGCCCTTCAGTTTTCTGTGCCATCTAGAGTAATAAGGAAAGGCAGGGATCAAGGACAGAAAGAGCTGTGGTACAAAGTTGTGCCTTGGGCATGTCTTTTCCTTTGTTGAATTCTCCAATACCTTACTCTGGCCTATACGGGGCCCACACAATAGGGGTTAATCCAGCCGTGAATGGTGGAGAAACTCCCGACCACAGGCCCCTGGTTGGTATTTTCCTTAGCTAGTCTTGCACAACAGGATGACCTCCATTTTAAGTGTGTCTGGCTACTTCTCAGACCACATGCACAGAGGGGTGGAAGTGCAAAACTGCTCATAATTTCAACTTTCAGAACTCCTATACCTTGTTAATGTGCAGAATGAATCACTATGTGTTCTTAATGCTAAGTAATTCTTTGGCTTAATTCCCCAAAATAAGATTGATAGTGATGATCCCATCCAAAATGCCCTCCTATGATACAGAGCTTTTGTCAGTATACTTTTCTTTGGCCCCCTCAGGGCAGTCACCCAAGAACCATCAAAGCTTGGAGATACTACATGGTGATCTTGCCTGAGCTTTCATAGCTTACAGACTTGCTATACTCAGGCCAATAATATAGTGTCTCAACTTCCAAGTTACTGGAATTAAAAATGGTTACATGATATTGGTATTATTTTTCTCAGTATACAAAAAGAAAAAGAAAGGAAGGAAGAAACTGGGAAGAAATTAAGTTTGCCATATCAAGTACTCTTCTAAAAGATACAGTGGATGAATATTTTAAGTGTTTTTCCCCATACAATTAAGGAGTCAATGTACCTGAGTCCTGTACTATAACACACTAGTTATGTTTCAGTTCCTGATCTCACCCCAGGTGAAATCTTTTTATATTAGTTATAAAGCAGTTGTTCATGTCTAATCATTTCATTGTAATATTTTTAGTATGGGTAATCATTTGGCATGGGATTTGGAAGAGTAAACAAAAACATTTAATGATTGTAGCCATAAATGATACTACTGGTAATAATCACACGGTTGGCCACAAGAGGGCGTGTAAAATCACAATAAAATCCCCAAACCTGTAATTCTGCCAGGCTCCGGTTTTACTGAGAAATTTGAAAATTAACACTAGTAAGTAGCCAGATTTCTTTCTAAAATTAACATAAAATATTCTCTAGAGGAAGTGCATTCTACGTATATGTGTGTATGTGTGTGTGTGTACACGCACACACACACTTCAGTGAATAAACATTTAGACTATTATGAAGAGCCAAGTTCAATTGCTTGATATGCTTTTTTACTTTTGGATGTTGTTTTTTTTCCAGACTCTTTACTGGGCATCAGTAGAAGAATATATTCCCAAATGGGAACAGTTTCTTTTAGGAAGAGCACCATATCCTATCGGTGTTGAAAATGAAAATGAAGTAGAAAATACCGTTCAGAATGAGGCACAGTGATAACTTCTTCACATACTCTTTTCAACAAAAAAAAAAAAAAAAAAAAACTGTTTAGTACAGCTGAGTATTAAAGAATACGCAGGTCATTTCGGGTGCCTTAGGAATCAAATATGTTCATATTGTCCCATTACCTCCTCGATGACATGAAGATAAGAGAATCAACTGACAAATCTCAGGTTCTATCCTTTGAGACCTACTCTTACTTCAGGATCATGAATTTGCTTTCTGCCAAACACATGGAAGTGTTAAGAGCTAATACCGAAAGTTGAACTGTTTATTAAGTAAATTGCTAAGTAAGTGTTACATGTGTCCTTCTTAAAAAAAAAAAAAATCATTTATAATCATTCTCATCTAAACAATGAATACTTGTTGTTCTGGTTTTACATTTTCTAGAATCACTTTGGCTCTTTTATTATGGGGATTAGGTTCAGCACAGGATCCAAGTGGCTGTTGGCCATTATAGTTTCTTTTAACAAATGGAAAAAATAGAGGCACTGAACTGCTTCAATATAGTATGTCAGACAATGGGTTTATAGGATTTTGTCCCTTATAGATAATCAAACCTCTGAAGGTTCCGGAGGAAAGAACTAAACTACAAAGCATTTGAGAAGTAGCCAGTTTCAGCGGAGCTCAGACTTGGTTCTGAAAAAGGTCACCTATTAGAGCTGGAAATGGTTATTGGATTTTGACTTAGATATTTAAGGACTACCAACCCTGTGAATGCAAGTAACTCTTCTCATCTTTTCATCTTAAAACTTGCCCTTCCCTCTCCTTTCTTTATTTCCTAAACAACTGTCAGAAAGCTTTGCGGCTCCCCAGTCCTCCACTGCTGGAGTGCTCAAAATTTTTTTTTAATTTTTCTGACTATAGACGCAGCTCCTGCTAGTAAGGGGAGTCTATGCTCATTACAATTCAAGAGTATAAAAATTTCAAACGTGTGTGTGTTTACATGAAGACAGTAGAACAAGCTTTAAAAAACAAACAAACAAACAAAACCTATATTGAAACATCCATTGTGCTGATCAGTTCCCTTAAACTACCATCTTGGAAATATCCTGTTGAGTGGGTGTTGGTGTGGGTAACAATAATGTTGTTTTCATAATATGCGCTGGCAGATTAGCACACTTCTCTACAGTGTTAACAGTTGTAATTAAGGAATAAACAGCACAGAGTGTCAGTCCGATGACAATTTCATCTATAGTGTCACAATACAAAATGTCACAAAATATTAGAACTGTTATATAACTATAAAAAGTATCGGCTTAAAAGCTGAAAGCCTTAAAAAAAGAGAGAGAGAAAGAAAGGAAGAAAAAAGAAAACTGGCATAGAGACCAGAACAATTTATACCTTCTCAAGAATCTTCTGACATGAAAATAAATTGATAATTTTTTTTCCTGTTACATCACAGTTTGGTTTCTAGCCATCCAGTTGATTTAGCAGGAGAATACAGGGCTTTTTAGCAGCTTTGAATTGGTAAACAGATTTAGATGTAGTAGAAAGGAACATGAGGAATTTTTTTTTTTTTAACATCCAATCTTTCCCAGCATATGCACATAAGAAGGTGAATGAAGCGATGTGAAACTTATTTCTCTTTAGTCAAGTGAAAAAAAGGCTAAACATTTGTTGAGATGGTAAAATATTGTGTCAAGCAAGTAGGCACATTCCAAAATTAAACAGTGGTTGATACATTAACATCCTCAAATATTTGAGTGCACACTTCCTTTGAGTTCTGTAAATTAAATCACCAGTAGATTAGATTAAAATACAAAATGAATAGCAATTTAACCATCTCAGATAAGGTGGGTTTTTTTCCTCCCCTAAATTGACTAACTTGCTAAATAGTTTCTAAAAAGAGCGTACATTTAATATACCCTGGGTTACGACTTATGGCAGAAGCGATGTTACTTCTAGGTTTTAGCTGTACTGTTTCCCTATTACTAGTGAATACCTCAAAAACTCCCACATGTGACTTTATTCCTGGCCCCCACAGAGCTCCCCCCCCTTCCCTCCTTGTAGACTGTAACAGATTGCACCACATGGTGTATGTTTAAAAAAAAAATTTCCATAGGGACCTAGATACCCCATTAAAGGGCTTTATATTCTTTGAGGCAAATTAGCTTTACATAGGAATTTCCAACTATTGTTTTCTGTAAGGAGGGAAGAAATACCATTAGCTCATGTATATTTTGTATGGCTCTTAGTAGAAATCAGACAAGGAAAAAGAAAGGTCATCTACTCATACTACCTCCCTGTCCCCCACTCCACCCCACCAATTCAGTACCTTTACCATATGCTACATTGTACCTCCTAGTCATGAAAACTATGAATTTGTTTTGGTGGTTTTTTTTTAATAATAACAAGATTTTCAAAATAAAGTTCATTTCAAGATTTTCTTTAAACAGCCTTCCTTGGATTATTGCAAATGCGTAAATATTCAAAGCTCATTTTATGCTGGAACACTTTTAGTATATGAAATTATTAAACTATAAAATATTGAGGTCAGAAGGAGCTGCCATTTTTCTCCAAACTTCAAAAAATAAATTTTACTAGGAAAAAGCCCAATACTCTAGAAACCAGACATCTGGTCTTTCCTGGGCGTTGGGAGCAGTGTGAATGAAAATGAGGTCAAATGGACAGTTTTTCCTTTGCATTACATACAAGGTGTTTTCACTTGTCAGCTGAAGACCTAGAGGGCTATAATAATCTTTACCTTTCTTCACAATTTGGTCTTCTCTGCCTCATCCCCTTTTCCATCAAAAAAAAAAAAAAGAAAAAAAAAGAGAGAGAAAGAGAGAGATGGGTATGTGGCTGTATTTTTGAATCAAAATTAAGCTTACTTGGAGATTATTTTGTCACTTCTAAGACAACCTGAGACAAGCCTGGGGGTGGAGGTGGGGGGTTTGAAAAACCAGGGTTTGCAATCACAAGAATAAGGCCCTGTCAGGTTTTAGAGTATAAAATTTAGTGCACAAGGCCATGAATTTGGTTAATCCACAAAATATATTATTTTCTTTCCTTATTCTATTAGTCTTTCTTACTCTAAACCAATTCACATTTTATATTTAAAATAGACTTTGAAACTCTTTCTGATGAGTTTCTACTCTCCCTGTTTCAAGAATTGCCCAAACATAATAGCTACATGGCTTGAAAACACTTTTCATTTCAACAGTCTGGTTGACCTCTTTCACTTTAATTAGGATTCTAAGATTTTTTTTTTTAAGTGTTTCTGACTAAAAATTTACTCTTCAGAGAAGGTACTAACTAGATAGTGAGTTCCAATGCAAGAAAAAGAGGAAAAACAAGCAAGCAAGCAAGCTGTGGAAAATATGGAGAAGGAAAAAAGAAATTACTTTGAGAAAGCTTTAAGTTGAAGCAGGACGTGCCCTCCCCACCTTCTCGTGGTGTTTTTATTTGTTTCTCTTATAATTTAGAAGTTAATTTGTCTACATAGGAAATTTAATTCCCTACTGCTAATAAAAGAACGTTTTGAGTTTTCTGGGACAAACACAGGGACGTGTCAAACTTCAGCAATTAAGGAGAGGATTGATATGTGGATTTGACACCTGGCATTGTGATCTCCTTTTTCTAACTAGAACTGACATTATATCCTTACCTAAATCCAAGACGAGGAAAAGGACGCCAACAAAGACAGAGGCTAAAAAATACTTCCGGACATCACCTTACCTCTCAGAGTCAAGTTTCCTTGCTTAACAAGAGAAAAAGGACCCGGTTCCCTACTTACAGTAATGTTGCAAAGTTCCTGCTATTTTAAAACCTCTAATTTGTATCTCAGAGACAGAGCCTGAGACTGCTAAAGCAGTATCTCCACTGACTAGCACGAATCAATAAATAGTTGCACAAAACAGAAACGGTGGCGTGTTCTCATTTAAGAAAGGGATGATTTAGTTTGTTTCTGTGTTTTTGATGATAGATCATTTAACCTTCACTGTTAGGGTCAAATGATTTTTTGTTATTCCTTCGTAAGTCGGGGTTATCATTGTACAAGGGTCTCTGATGTTCTGCATGTTATCACTTTGGGGACACTATAGTCAAATTAGAGGGGGACAAAATTCCATGTATATAATTTCTCTAATCCATCTCTGTCTTCTTTCCTTTCCCAATACAACATAATCCTTCTTCGTACCTTGTTTCCAACCATTTATAAGGTCTATATAACACAGACATTTTGTACTAGAATGCTCTACCCCAGGAAAACCAGTAACACTGAGATGTTCAAAAGAAGCTAAATGTAGAACCTTTTAAAATGCTATCCAGGAAAACATAAAGCTGCGTAACATTTAAGCACCATTCATTCATGCCTTCAACAGATCTTACTGATTGCCCACTGTGTAGCATTCACAGTTCTAAATGCCAGAGGTATAGCAGGACACAAAATTGCCCCTCAAATCCATGTCCTCCTGGAATTTACATTGTGGAGAGGGTGGAAGGTGGAGAGATTTGAAGTTAGATTAAAACAAACAAGTAATACATAATATATTAGATGGTAATAAGATCTAATATAGTATGAACATATAAAATATCTTCTCAATGCAAGAAAACAAAGCAGATTTCATAGTTTCTTAGAAAATATGACCAGAATGGGGCACCTGGGTGACTCAGTGGGTTAAAGCCTCTGCCTTCGGCTCAGGTCATGATCTCAGGATCCTGGGATTGAGCCCTGCATAGGGTTCTCTGCTCAGCAGGAAGCCTGCTTCCTGCCCCACGCCCCCCCCCCACCTGCCTGTCTGCCTATTTGTGATCTCTCTCTGAGAATAAATAATAAATGATAAATAAATAAAATCTTAAAAAAAAAAAAAATATGACCAGAAGACATTTTTACCCCCATTGAAAGATCTTGATTTGGGGTTTTCCAATGAAGAAACTTTTTCACTGCTACTGATTTGGACATTGTCTAAATTTAATGGATAGATTTGTAATAAAGAATGAAACCCTCACTATTTCAGAAGATAATTTTTTACATGAATGTTCACAACAACAAAATGTTCTTTTGTTTACAAAAGAAAGTGGAGGTAGC